GTGTCTGGCAGTGAAGAGGCGTGCGATGTATTTGGCCATCTCCATATCCTCCTGACGGCAAAGAGGAAACCAACAACGGCTTTAAAACAACAATATCAACCAGGAAAACTCACAATGCGACTATGTGCAAAGTGCAAACATTTATTCTTGCCATGTTCAATGTACATTTGCAAATTATATGTTTATTATCTCATACATTTTAATTTTTGTGTATGTTTTTACACAGTTTTAAACTGAATTCTAAAATGGAACATGCATTTCAGAATGAAACACAATGAATTTGTAATGTATTTAACATATAAAACATTTTTTTTCCTGTATGAGTCAGTAGCATTTGATAGCCCTATGCAAAGGTGTTCCATATATTATTTTTCAAAATATGTTTGTAATATATTTTCATATGTTTGAAATACAGGTAAATACTAAAAATGTCCACTTTTACGTTTATATCATCTATATATGTGCCAATATTTTAATGTATTGGTGTGTATTTACATGTATTGTGGTATATTCACATGTTCAAAAATGGCACAGTTAAACATATTTAGCATATCGCTTTTGTCAGAAGAAAACTTCAAATCTCCAAACTTAAAACTTTACAGGAGAAGGAAAAAACATACCTTTCTTTTAATGTAAGTCAATGGAACCAGAGTTTTTTCCAAGTAATTTTGGGTTGGTTCTTTTGGTTCGTTTATCATGAAATTTATATACAATGTAAAGAACAACAGGCATTTTCAAATTATGTCAAAAGCTGAAAAACGACATATATGGAGATTTTCTTCAAACACCAGCAATATATATTTCAATACATCACATCTACTGCACATGCACATTTTTCTTCCATACGGGCAAACCATGACCATATCTGAGCTTCCAGTTCAGTTAAATGCCAAAACTCACATCTTTATAATAATGCAAAGTTTTGCTAGCGCCCCTAAGGGATTCTAGTAGTATGTTAGCACTAAGCTAATAGCATTTCACGTTAGCAATTTTTTGAAACATGGACATTTGAAGCATGTTAAAGACATATATTTTATTTTTATTTTACTTGTAACTGACATTAACATATATATTTGACCTAGCAGTTTTACAGTGACTCAGTACACAGCTCTGCCATAGAGCTGCTGTTTTATTTTCATTTCTAACAACTTTCTGAAACAGTTAGCCAGACGACAGCACAGTCAGTGACGTATCTAGAACTTCCAAAAGACCTAAAGCGACCTTTTATTTTACAAAATTGGTCCCATCCATTGCAAATACCAATGGAAGATGGCTGGTTGATTTGTCTTTTATTTCCTAATTATACTGGTAGTTAATCTAATACACTGGACCTTCTGCCTGGAAGAGCTTACTTGGCTATATATAACTAGATATCACTGAGAAAACATTTCTGACTGGATAATTTTCCATTTTTCTTTCAAGAATTTTGTTGGTAATGTAATAATTACTACATTACTTGCAGATTTTAAATTATGTTTATCTCAAATAAATATTGACTAAAAATAATGATGTACTTTTTTCATTTCAAACAAATCATTAGACCTCTTTTGGCCCTAAAAGCGTTCCCCATTGGATATTTCACTTTACAACCCATTAACTACATTGCTAACATTTCCAGCCGCTGTATTTCACTGCACCGCTAAGCTGCAACCCATTGTTTAACACAGAAAGTCTAAAGCTCATAGTTTATAAAGCTCACTGTTTTTTTTCCACCACCTTTGTTTTTCAGATCAGAACGTTCCACAGCACAGTGTTTCCCGTGGGACGACCTTGGCCAGCGCACAGTCTAAACACTCACCGTGTGGAACATGATGGTGTCGTCTTTGCTGGTTATCTCCACGGTGATGGCCGACTTGTTGTGCCCGATGGTGCCGATGTCCTTCCACCTAAAACAGAGGAAGTGAGAGGTGCTAGTCAGCGTGACCTTCCAAACCTGAGATTAGCTACACAGCCTTGAACACACGGCTATAGATTAGGACAAGGACTGTTATCTATAAAAACAGGCAGATGTACAACGTGTGCCTAAACACAGCAGTGGCAGTTAAGTAGTGACTTAAGGGCTGACTTGACTCTACATAAGGCAGGTGTGTGATGATTAAGGCACAGTGCTAATTGGTGCACATGAGCTTCCATTACTTGTTAACCACATTAGCCTCGTAGCAAAACATGCTTTAGATGATCGACTACTTCTGGGTTACGTGGAACGGTATATACATGTGCTGAACTATCGCTTTAACACTTCAGCCCACTGTAATAACTTTACATATGAAATCAAACGAGAGTAAGCTATTAGCATTAAAAGTGTGGTCTGAAACTGGTCTGGAATCAGAGGTCTGGCTGCAGGATTAGTAATGTTCAAACGTTTAAACGACTCTCAAGGTCTTGACCTCTTTGAGCCTGAGAGGCATATGCCCATTCTACATCTCTGGACTCTGGACTTCAGTCTCAGGCACTTTGAACCTACAATCTGTGCTGGTCACTGAAGTGCTCAGGGTCATTCATCTAATCTGCAAGTCTGCAAGCTTATAAAAGTGTATAAAACTGTATAAAAATGCTAATGAAAGGATCACTTTCATAGTATATACTGACCCTAAAATCTGCACATTTGCCCAAAAATGTGGTAATTAAATGTACATTTAATTATGAACGTAATTCCAAGAGCAAAGTCTGCTGAATTCTGCATCCCAAGCAGCCTCTCTGGAAGTCTGCATTAAGCCAATCCCCGCATGTTCAGTCCACGTATCTCTAAGTCTGGAGAAGACCAGATATTTAAGTTGGCAATATGCTTCAAACAATGAACGAACTAAATGAAAAGAACTACTGCTGAACACACTGTTGTAGACTTAGGTGCAGGTGTACATCTCAGCACTAGAAGCCCCCGTTGTGCAATGGACCAATCGCAGTCAGGGGGAGAGCTCAGAATGATGATGCACCGCACCATCCAAACTCAAACCACTGCGTCGTTTTCGCCAAAAAGATGTTAATTTGCTTGGAAACTGTTTTGTTTTAGGAATATTGCCGGTTTTAAATTGCGCAAGAGTGAAGAAGAGGCTCAGCTCCGGACCTCAAATCCAGCTCCCTGGCTCTTGATTTACTAATCGCTAATACTAATTTTAAAAGAACTACTTCTCACTCATAGTTTGTTGAATCATTTGGAGAAATCTTGTTGAAAGTACAGATTCTAAGCTTTCAATCAAAATGATCCAAAGTCACTCCTGGTCATATTACATGCTTGGCTAATTTTTCTAAGTTTAACATGCTGGAAAAAGTCAAACATAAAATATAAAATGTGCCATAACTTTCGCACAGGCAACATTTTATGATTTATTTTCTTCCAACAAGTGAAACTCAGCAAATAAACTGTAACTGTGCTTACAATGTGCAGAAGTGCGTTCTCTGTAGAGGATGTTGTAACTTACTTTCACTTAGAAACTTAACAAAACAAGGAATTTGACCAGGAGCGTCTGACTGTAGTCAAACCCGGCTTGAGAACGTGCAGTGATGGCCACACTGTGAAAAAAAAGTATTCAAGAAGGAAAAGGGTCAGTGGTGAGTCTCACCGGTGCAGCATGATGGACCTCCCATTCCTGTGCTTGACAAAGACTCCAATGAAGGACACGCCGATGAAGATGTCATTGGTGTAGTTGTCCTGGAGACAGTATAACAGTAAGTTGTTCAGAACGTGAACCAAATTTAAGCAGATGTGTGAGTGTGTCTACATGCATATCCTTACTTTAGCAGCGAAGCTCTCCTGCCCAAACCCATCCAGCTTCTCCGCCTCTTTGATGTAGAGCAGTTCGGCTTCTGCAGGCTGCATCCGACTGGAACACACATGGTCAGACAGCTCATAGAACCATTGCATACTTAAATGGTTAATACGCAAAGTCGTCCAGAGTGGTTTGATGTGAAACTCTCCGTTCTAGAGTCAGAATTGTTCACAATGGTGGTGATAGGAACCAGACGTCTGAAGAGTTTAATGTCTCTAAAACCTCCCCTCAAAGAAAGTTCTTACATGAAATGGTTATTAATATAGTACCTGATGCCGGATACATTTTTACTATAGTTTTAAGATTCAACTGAAATTGAAAGATTTTGGCCTAAAATCTATTTTTTATTGATTCATAGCCTTTCAAGGCAAACAGTCCTCAAAGAAAAGTTATATATTTTAGATTTAACATTACTTTATTCTTATTATATAGAAATTTTGAAAAATCGGTGAAATTCCCCTTTAAACAGGCTGTGCCTTTAAGGGCGATATATGTAAATATCCTCTGCTCTGATTGGCTGCCCTGTATCGTGCCTCATTCATTCATAAAGCAGTCAAATGCCCAGAACAAACTGACTGAAATCCTCAGGGCCACTTCAACAACAATGGGCGGTTAAATGTATATGTTTTCATGGTTGTGACATCACAACCACCATGGATTCAAAATGGGCTGTTTTTGCAGCTCAACTGCCTGTATGGGATCTGGAATATGTTTTGAAACTTAAATAATGTTTACAAAGTGCATTAAACTTGCTTGTTTACAAAAAGCAAAAACATCTTCAGTTGTCCATGATTATGGGCTCTTTAAAAACAGGGGACCTCATCTGAGAATCAATAATGCTGATCTAATCCATGTTAGCATGTGGTTATGATAAACACGAGGTGCTTACTAGTGACTCTTGTGTTCTTCGGCCACTTTCTGAGTCCAGTCCTCCAGCACCTCGTCCACATGAGGCCAGTTCTAGAGAAGAGGCAGTTCAAAAGATGTACACACTAATAACAATGTCTTATTAAACTGTTTATTGTGCATTATTACAGCTAATAAGGTAATTATTAGTCATATTAAGTCACACAATAGACCTCCAAAAATGTACACTATATGGACAAAGGTATGTGGACACCCCTCCTGATTACTGACTTCAGGTGTTTCAGCCACACCCACAGCTAACAGGTGTATAAAATCAAGCACATAGCCTTGCAGTCTCCATAGACAAACACTGAAATCCTGCCTTAG